TGAAAGATTTGTGAAAATGCTTTGTTAGAGAAGGTAGTTGCAACTTTTAGACTCTTTAAAGATTTGTAATATTCGGCTGGAGTTCCATTTTTCTCTTTTGCTTTTATACGAAGAAATCATTGCTCTCCCCCACCCTCAAAGTAAGTTTGAGATAATTCAACCACGTCAGTCAGAGCTGTGCTAACCTCTGTCATCCAGCTGTTATGGTTATAATATTTTTCTTCCCTTCTCTCTTCTCTCTCTCCTATTTTCCCAAATTTTCCCCAAAAAAGTTGAGAGAAAAAAACAAATCGTTTCTCTTTTCATATTGATATTTAAGGTGGAATAAATGTGGTTATAAAAGCATCAATCAACACAGCACTAACTTGCCAAGTTAAGTATTTGGGTTGGAAATCATGCCTCCCAACTGCTTAAAAACAGGAAGTATCTCTGTTAAGTGGTAGATAGCTCCCAGTTTCTGGAAAGGAAGGTCTCTTTCAATTTTTTCTACATTTTTGAGCAATAAAACAAGTTTTGCAGTTTCATACATAGGGCCAAATATTGCCTACACACATATATATATATATGCATATATGCAAAATCAGCTTGAGTGTGAACGCACACGCACACATCAGTAAATGTAAATATATGTTAAAACACCTTCAAAGGCTTCAAACAGACTCTTTCACAAGCCAGCCCGGGCACATCTTACCCACAGTTCAAGCAAAGCCGGGGAGCTGTCAGAAACAGCCTATAGGTTTGTGCTCAGTGATTAATTGCCAAGAGAATCCGGTTCTGTATTCCATTACATATAATTGTCCTCTTGTCTAAAGGTGTTTATTAAGTTCCCATTTTAAATGGGGGAAAATACACACACCTAACTTCCATTTCTGATGTTTAGCCCTTCTTACAAGAAAGAAGAAAGCTAACACAGTTCACTAACAAAGGCATAGTTACAGACATTTTCCCTCCGATTTTTACTAAAACTTTACTAATATTTTAATTTGCCCAGTGTGTCGTGGGTTGGCAGTGTGGAGTGTAGGATGCTCCTCCAGCTTCCACCGTTGAGCCATGTGTGGTTTGACATTGATGAACCTCTCTGGACCTCAGCCCTCTCAGCAAATGCAGGGAGTTAGAAATAGAAGAAATCTTTGTGATGCTACTATCCTATGATTCTCTCATTCTTTTCATGTCAAATTAAGAAAAAATAATTTTGCTTTAGATAAAAATGATTCTTACACTTATGACACAAGCAAAAACCCTGGCTTGTGTTTACAATGTAATCTTTGTTTACTTCGTGAGTATCCAATAAGGTGCATTCTGGTGCAGAGCTGAAGTACAGACTCATGGGAGTCTGCCAGCGGTCCGGTCCTGGCTCCACCACTTACTGTGTGACTTTGGGCAGGTTACCTAACCTCTCTCTACCTCAGTTTTGTTATTTGTTATCTGTGACACCTTACATTTTGATGAACTGTTGTTTTTTTAATTTGGAAAAATAGATGTGCCTTGAATACCTTACAGTCCAGTGGACCACCAGGACATGTGAACAAATATTATAGTGTATTTACTATGTGCAGTAGACATGTGAACCGTCTTTAGAAGTAATACAGAGAAGAAAATAATTTCCATCGTGCTATGCGATGTGATTTGAAGGAAGAGCTAGAATCTGCCTGGAGCTCAGGGCACAGGGGCAGTGGTTTAAGTTAATTGTCATAGTCCAGTGTGGGGTGGGGGTGACAGGCAGACACCTACAGAGGCACAGGGTGGGAGGGCATGCTGTTTTCAGGGAACTACAGGGAGTTCTGTGTCGGTAGAATGTACAGGGCAGGGAGGGGTCAAATATAGGAGAGGATGCTGGAGAAATCAGCGGGGACAAGATTGTTCCTTCCCCACAACCCCACCACCCCTCACCCTCCACCCTGTTAAGAACCTATGAGTTTATTGATATTCAAATGTTATAAAAATCAGTGTATAGGGTGGGGCAAAAGTAGGTTTACAGTTGTGAGTACGTGAAACAGGAGTTTACTCTTGTATTATTTTTATTAATTATTATATTATTTTCCATATGAACAACTGTAAACCTACTTTGGCTTCACCTTGTGAACATGTAAGAAAGGCCCCCCTTAACTCCCCCACTCCCTCCTTTTACCTTTGGAGAACTTTTCTTTTTTAATATTTCTTTTATTTATTTTTTTAATCTTCACCTGAGGATATGTTTTTATTTATTTGTTTCTCTGTTGATTTTAGAGAGAGAGGGACAGAGAGATAGAAACATCGATGAGAGAAAATATTGACTGGCCACCTCCTGCATGCCCTGCACTGGGGATTGGGCCTACAACTTGGGCATGTGCCCTGACTGGGAATTGAACTGGTGACCTCTTGGTGCAGGGGTTGACACTCAACCACTGGGCCACACTGGCCATGCTGGAGAACTTTTTAAAGCAAATTTTATAGAGATGTTTAAAAGATTAATTGCAGTGTTTTTAATTTTCCTCTGTAGCTTATCAAAAAGCAGATTCACTGTTTATAAGAGGAAGAATTAGGATTAGTTCTAGATAAATACTGTTTTGGCCTTGGAAAAGGGCCCTTTAATCATTTATTTTTGTATTTAAGTATAGTTGGTATACAATATAGTTATATTAGTTTCAGGTGTACAAGATAGTTCAACATTTTTATACCTTATAATGTGGTCACCCACTAATTCTAGTAATCATCTATCACCATGCAATCTTATCACAATATTTATTGACTATATTTCTCTTCACCTTTTCACCCAGCTGCCCAGCCCCTAAAAGGGCCCTTTAATTAGAAGTGAATGAAAAAATATATTATTCTAGCAAAAGAGCTTGTATGTGCGAGTGAATTGTTTTCTTCACCCTTTTGTGCCCACCGTCAGGCGCTGGCATTTACTGTGGCACGTTGTCCTCAACACCTGCTGTGCAGTGCGTCGTCTTTTCTTGTGCAGCGCCGTGGGCTGTAACAGCGCTGAGCGAGCCCATGACAGGCAGACAGCCTACAGGCTGATGGATTGGTTGTGTCAATACAGACACGTGTGCATTGTTGTCATGCAGAAACCCTTTGTTAAAGAATTGTTTTTCAAAGGACAAAGAACGTTGTGACTGTAGCACCTAATCCTGTGCCTGGCCTGGAGGAGATGCTCAGCAGATGTTTGTAGGATTGAACTGCGCTGTGAATCTTGGGCAGGACACTGAGCATCCCCTCCAGTGCAGGAGTAAATGAGTATCTCAGGAGCTGTCATACAGTTGGGAATGGTGCTGACAAAGCCTTTCCAGCAGTTGCAAAGTGAGGTGGTGGTGTATGGTAAGATCCAGATTTTTGGCAAGTATCATTCTCTGCAAAATACAAACACAGACCTGTCTTAAAGAAGCCCTGCTTTATCTTTTGTCTTCCTTTGCACAATGGAGAGGCATTGTCAAGAGAGGAGATGTCCAATAAATTGAAAATTTGGGGCAGCTCTACTTCAGTGATTTCTCTTCCATTGTCATTTTCAAGCTCATCGCCTCTGTTATAGTCATGTTCTAATTTAAGATGTAAGATTGTCCTAGTGTTCTTTCTTTTTTTTTAAATTTAATTTATTGGGGCAATAAGATCATATAGGTTTCAAGTATACATTTCTATGATACATGATCTGTATATTGCATTGTGTGCCCAACACCCCAAGTCAGACCATCTTTCGTCATCATGTATCAGGGCCCCTTTACCCTGGCTTTCTACCTGGACGCTCCACTTCATTCCTGTACCACTTACCTTGCTGCAGAATTGTTTCCTTTCTTAAACAGAAATTGGGGCCTGATTAAAATCCTTCACCTGATTAAAAACCTCCATCATTTCCTATGGACTGTAAGACAAAGATCGAAGACCTTGGCATTCCCCACCATATATAAAATAACCGTACCTGGATTTATTTTTCACTTCATTTACTTCCACATGCCCATGTTTCAAGAATCCTCCTCTAGTGTTACCCAGCCATTTTCCTGACCTGTTACACCTGGAATACTAACTGGCAAAGGTCGCCGTTGGACCCCTGGAGCCTCCAGCCTCTCGGGGCTCCTGATAATCCTGACAGCTGAGGGAAGCAATGTCCACCACACCTGTGACCCACCGCAGTGCTGCCCTGAGGTCGGCCGCTCAGTGTGCCTGCATGAACCTCTGCCTGCCCGGGAATGGTTGGTGCACTGCTGCCCCTTTAGTTCTTTGTACCTAGTATTCCCTCTGCCTTCGCCCACTGTCTCAGTGCGGTACAGTCCCTTCTTGTCACTCAAGATCCAGTGCATTTGGATCAGGGGAAGATGTCTAGGTTTTGAAATTCCTTGTTTCCAAAGTCCTAAATTAGTTCATCTCAACTCTTGTAAATTCTCACTTTTTATTTTCTGAACCAGTTAAATAACCTAATTTTAAGATTAGACAAGTGCCTACTGCACTAATAATGATTTTATATATTTTTTGAAGTACAAATAAAATTCTTGTTTCCTTGGCTTTTTGGAAAGAGATTTTTTCCCTCCATATTCTCCATTCCAAAGGAGTTGCTTATTTAAAGGAAGATGTGTGTAGTACAAATCATATTATTACTACTTACTCAGTTATACTTTAAAATTAAAAGATCTCAAATGATTTCTTGTGAAATGGTTTACTAAGCTAAACGCTGTAAGAAAAGAATTACAAAAATTAGTTTCCTGGGGTTAACAGAGCCTGTTGCTTAAGTGTAATTGAGCTTGATCGCTAACGTCTTCCTCTCCTGACTGTGTCTGCCTCTGAGTGTGCTGTGTGTGCACGAGGTAAGCGTTGCTGGCGCTCTCTCTGTTGTTGCCCTTCACTGTCGCAGCAGCTGTCAGGTTGCAGTTTGATTCTTCCTCACCCGTAAATTCTTAAAGGGGAAATTGTTAATGCATTTGTCATCTTTTCTACGACTGTCTTAGCCTGTTGATTAAAACCCACTGAATTGAACTGTTTGTATATTGACTTTTATTCACTTTCAATGTGTTCTTTTTTTTTTTTTTTGGTCTTGTTTGCAGTATCATACATGATCATCAAACCGCTGCTAGAATGTTCACACCTATTACTGCAAATCCAAAACCCAGGACGAAATTCCCCTTTGCATTTACTTTAGGTCAGGGTAGGCTGCCTGGTAAGAGGCTGCGTCCGCAACGGGGCAGGTCCAGCGAGACCACTCGGTGTTCTCAAAAGCTGCTTTGTACTGCTGATAGTGCTTTGCACTAAAGTAGTTGATCAGCTGGTATTACTAATTACTTTTAAGTATGTGGTTATTTAGGATTTTGGTTTTCAAACTTTATATAAAACCTGTTTGTGTTTCCTGACATCTGTGCAGCAGATAATTCCTCCAACTTAAGTACAATTTATGTTCTTTCTCATTACTCCGGAAGTAATATAACAAAGAGTGTTTCTTACCAAGGCTGACATGTTTTTACTAAATATTGCTTATTTTATTGGTTTCTAAAGCTAATCTTCCTTCAGTCTAATTAAACTAATAGAGATTACTAATTTACATAGAAGTTATTATGAAATTGTATTCCCAAAACATTGAGAATTTAAGCTTTAAATGATAGCTAAAGTGAAACAAGCCAGACAGAGAAAATCAAATACTATATGGTATCACTTATATATGAAACCTTAAAAATAAAATTAAAAGGCCAATTTTATAGAAACGATAGGATAGGATAGGGTAGGGTAGGCTAGAGTAGAACAGGGGCTACAGGGAGGGGGGAATGGGGACATGTTGGTCAAATAGTACAAACTTCCAGTTATGAGTAGGTTCTGAGTATTGGATGTTCAACATAGTGACTGCAGTTGACAGCACAGGGTCATAAACTTGAAATGTGCTGAGAGTAGATCTCATGCTTTCACCACACAACAAAGAGCTACTATGATGTGCATGTTAGTCACCTTCGTCTTAATAAGTCATTTCAGTGTGTGTGTATGTATGTATATCCCATTAGCACGTTGTACACCTTAAATATATATAATTATGTTTATCAATTACTCAATAAAGCTGGAAACAGATAAATAAATATTTTAAAATATAGCAGCTAAAGTCAAAGATATAAAACATTTCCAGACATCAGCTATGTCCATCTCTAGACTGAGTATCTGGATCAACAGGGTAAAGATATTTAATAAATACAGGCGTGTTTTAGGGCCGCCTCTCTTAGTTATCCCTCAAGCAGATTTCTGTTGAAGAGAGTAAGCTGTTTTCCATAAATTCTCCTTCCTCTTATGAAAGAGCTATGAATTAAGCATTTCAGAGGCTATGGAAAGAAGCAGGAGCGGAAGAGGCAAGTAGTGAGTTGTTAAACAGCAATTCTTGTTAAACATTGAGATTTACAAATATAAATCAAGAATCTGTATTTTAATCTTGATTTTTTTACCAACATTCTAACCTCATAGTTTTGGAACACTTGTTCTTTTATTTATTGAAATAACATTAACATCTACCATGTGCCAGGTATTGGATCAAAGATAACTAGTTATCCCTGTATTCAAGGGGCTCAGTCCCGTACTGGGGATAAATATCCAGCAACAGTGATAGTGGCAGCATCTAAAGTGAAGCACGCGCGCCATGTGCCAAGCACTGTGCCGAGCCAGTTATATGGACCCTATCATTCAATTCACACATTCATCCCCTGAGTGAGTACTAGGACGGCTAAGGACTTTAAAGTACCAGGATGTTTACATGATTTGTCCAGAATTTTAACCCAGTGAAATTTTAATCCTTTAGGCCAGTTCTTTTGCCCTTGCTTTTAACCAGTATGCCACATTACAAATTATATACTTGGAAGAATCATAGAAGTTTATATAAAAGATAAAACTTTTAAGCTGAGGCTTGAACAGGAGATGGAGCTTGCCTGAGAGCTCAGGAGATAAAATGTCATTCTGAGCAGAGAGGAGGATGTGTGAGGGAAGGAGCTGGAAGGCATCCTGGTGGATTGGCCAGCTGAGTGCTTAGGTGCCCTTGGAGCCATAGGGAGAGAAAGAAGCAGCTGCAGATAAAGTTAGAGAGTTACCCCAAAATTAGGCCTGAAGTACTGTGCTTGAATTTTACTTTTCTCCTTGAGGGACCATTCATTAATGGTTAGAAAATAGGAAGTTATAGCATTTTCAGTTACAATAATCACTTTAGCAGTGATGTGGACAGCGGGAGGGAGAAGGAGGAAAAAATAAAACTGCAGGCAGAAAAACAACCAACCACAACAGCTATAATATTCTAGATGAGATTGGGTTCGCTTGACTTTGTCGAGTAAACGTTTATTGAGTGCCTTGTCTGTGCCATTGCTAGGTTGACAGTGTGGAATAAAACAATATATATCTCCCATTACATATAGTCTGCAATCTGGTGGGAAGGTCAGATGGTAAAGAAACAAATATATAATGAAGGAGATGGGGTAGAAATGAACGTTTCAAGAGAAGTAGAAGAGGTATCATGAACCTCACCTATTAATCAGTTGAATTTAGTAGGAGCAAGAGATGCCTAGAATAAGTTCAAGATTTCTGTGAAATAAATCAGAGCTATTAACAAGGCTCCACCTCTCTCCCCAGTTTCTGGAACTATTTTCTCCATGAATTATGAGACGTTGATGTTTTTTATTGGAGTAGAATGTAAAGACTCAGTGCTGCTTTCTTTTCTAGAGGAAGGCACTCCCCACACTCACGTACACACCCTTGTGGGTCATTTTAAATGAATGGCAGCCATGGGACCTGCTGTTTTAGTGTCTGTTTTAATCCTTTGGTCTGGACAAGTATTTCTGTGCTAATTAAATTACATTTGAACATTGATAGACTATGAAATTACAGGTGTTAAATTTCAGAATCTCTTTAAAAAAAAGGCAGCCCTATAACTGTGGTATATGGTTGGATCAATAAGAATCCTTAATGTGAAATACTAGAAATGCTTTCAAGTTCTTTTTGTAAAGGTCAGAAGAAGAAAAGTTAATAGTATTTAGTTCAATTAATTAGTGTAATTACTAAAATAGAACACACTTTCTAATATAAGCTGTGGCTTGACATTGGGTAAGATACTGCATTCAAGTCTAGAATTGGGGCTGGAAGGTCATTGAATACCATGATTCTTAGTGTACATGAGCAGATTTCACGTGATCTCTATGGAATTATTTGCAAAATTGTGGGGGGGTGTTTTGCCATCTGTGTATTTTGAGGGGAATTCTTGTCATGTGCACATAGGGCTCTCATTTAAAGAAAAAAGACCCTTCATTCTCACACATGAGGAAGCTGATGGAGGCTAGAGACCTGCCAAGGTCTTGAACACCTTTTTTGAAAAGGCAGTTTCCCTACGATTTTTTAAAAAAAAAACAGAGTTTTAATGTAGAGGCCACAGTATCTGTGACTTGGGGCCAGAGGCTTCAGAGATCAGGAAGCCTTGGCTTGGTTTTCATTGAGAACTGTCTTGTGGTGGTTTTTAAAATAACAGAACCTGCCATCATTCTTCCACCCTAACATCTCAGGACAGTATTTTAAAAGAAGTTCTAGGAAGGGTGTTAACTCGTTTGGGTTCTGCAGGAAGAAAGGCTCTTTTTTTAAGCTCACTTTCACTGACAAGATCAGGCCAGAAAAAGCTTAGCTGGCTGCTGGCCCAGATGACGTTGTAGTCATTGAACTGTGCTCAGCGGGCACCGTCTGGGGCTTGAGGGAAGCAGGATTCACGCTGAGTGTTGTTCCAGTGACTTAGATACACCTCGGCTGTGGTGTTCTTGCAGCTTTAGAAAGGAAAGTCTAAAATAGCCTAGAATTTGACTTTTTCTAGAAAGGTGAAAAGGATAACTTCAACTTTATAAAAAAATTAACCAAGCTATATCCCCAGCCACTAAAATGAGGTCTAGCACAGAGTATATATATAATAATTTTTTGATAAAAGAATTATTTATATGTATTTTATTATCTGTGTCATAAAAGTAAAAAAGGACTGATTCAGCATTGTGGCACCTGATTTCAGGATCTTAAAAAAAGAGAAAAATACGTTACTCTATTTGAAAGCTAACCAGCTAGCCTGCTTCAGTGTCATGGAGACTGGCAAAAGACATGAGACTCCCGGCACAGACAGAGCAGTCAATTTGTCACTGACAGAAGATCATCATTTTTTGTGCTAGTTCCCTAAGAACTAATTTCCACAGAGCAATTGTATTAGGTTTTGATGTTTGCATTTTCTGTGATGTTTTATGTATGGTCCCAGGTATATTTTCCGGGCCTTGGTTTTTTTCTTTTGTTTTTTCGATTTTAAGTTGTTTATGTTGAATTCTTATCTTCCTTAGTTTCTGTATTTACTTCTATCACATCTTCTTTCTGGATAAACTATTTATAAGTTAGTGCCTCTTAAATCTTCAGGAAATGCCATTTCTGATTATGCCAGCAATGAGAATAATTTTTTTGGAGGTGGAAGGAGTCTGCATTTTGGGACTATTTCGTTTACAATGCTCTTCATTTGTTCCTGAAGATGCAATTTTCCATCTTGTATCATTTTCCTTCAATCTGAAGATCTTCTTTTAGCATTTTCTGTGGTGGTTTTCTTTATCTGAAAATGACTTAATTTTTTTGTTGTTGTTATTGAAGGATATTTCCACTGGAAATAGAATTCTAGAATGACGTTTTTGTTCTAGCATTTTGAAGATGTTGTTCCACTGGTTTCCGCTCTCCATTGTTTTAATTGAGAGTCATTAGTAATTCAAACCATTGTTCCCTGTATTCAGTCTGGCAGTTTCAAGATTTTCTTTATCTTTGGTTTTCAGCAGTTCCACTATGATGTGTTCAGGTGTGTTTTTTTGTTTTGTTTTGTTTTATTTTGCTTGACATTCACTTTAGCTAACTAATTGTAAATCTGTTTGTTTACCAATTTGGGAAAAGTTTTGGCCTTTTTCTCTTCAAATTTTTTTTCTGCCTCATCTTCTCTTTCCTTTCCTCTTGGGACTCTGATTAGATGTACATTAGACCTTTAGTTAAATATTGTCCCACAAGAGTGATCTTTTAATGTAAGTCTTACCTTTTCAACCTTCCTACTTAAAACCTTCCAGTAGCTTCTCATTGCAAGTAGAATGCAATCCAGACTTTTTACATGCCTTTTAAAGCCTTATGATCTCCCATGACTATGTGTTTGACCTCATTTCCTACCTCTTTTTTCTTTACTCACTGTTTTTATCACACTGGGTTCTTTCTCTCCCTGGAACATACCAGTCGTTCTTGCCTTTGCACTTGGCGTTCCCTTTACCTTGAATGCTGTTCCTCCAGATAGTTGTATGGCTGACTCCTTCAGGTGTTTGCATCAGTCACCTCCCCAGTGAGGCATTCTCTCACTTCCCCAACTAAAAGCTGCCCCCCCCCCACACACACACACACATTTTAGACCCGTATCTCTTTTACTAGCTTAACTGGGATGTACTTCATATACCATAAAATTCACCCATTTAAAATACTATACAATTAAATGGTTTTTAGTATATTCATAGACATGTATAACCATTGACCTCCAATAAAATATGAGGAAAGTTTGTTTGACTGCATTCAGTTCTCGAAGTCTTTTATCAGAACTGTGCTTTTTTGAGGGCTCTCTGAAGCAGCTTACCCCATATTTTAATAATTACTGCAGGGAGTTACAAAGAATATGTATCTTTTGATAAGGTGAATGCAAGTCGTATTTGCATCCCCTGAAAGCCGATGGCATCTTTTACTGACCCAACAGTTGCTGCGAGCAAAAAGCCTCTCAGAAATATTCCTTTTCTATTTTCAAAAGTACCCAGAACATTGTTTTTTCATGTGAACCTTTAAAATAGAGTGTCGAGTCTATAGTAGGTGTTTTATTACTAACTATGAATAGCATTGGGTGGCTCCTGAGATTCTGGACCTCCCTGTCTCTGGGCACCGTCCACACGGGACGTCTGTTCTGAGCCTGGAAATCCGCATCACCCTGTCTTCTCTCCAGGCTTTGATGCGTCCTGGGAGAATCGATAGAATCGTCTATGTGCCTTTACCAGATGCAGCAACAAGGAGGGAGATATTTAACCTGCAGTTTCACTCTATGCCAATCAGTCAGGACGTTGACCTGAATGAACTCATCCTCCAAACGGACACGTATTCAGGAGCAGAGGTAAGAAAGTTCTCAGAATATCTCGGTAGGAGGAAAGTGGTGGCTTGGGGTCATTACAAAAAGACTGCTTACAGCAGCTGTTTTAAATAACTGTGTATTAAACACTCTTAAAACAGGAAATGCACTGCATGACAGGTGATCACTAAATGAAATTGCATTTTACCTGGCCTGTGTTTTTCCCTGGGCCCAGTTGTCGCTGGAAAGGTAGTCTTCAGAGAAGTAGCACGACCCAGCGGCGAGAACACTGGGCTAGAAGCAGGAACCCTCTTTGGAGCTTCTGATAGAGCAGCTTCCAGCCCTACTTCTGAACTCGGATCTCCTGACCGATCGAAAGGAAACGATATGCCGACTGCATTTTCTCACGGGGCCATGGAAGTGCGAGTGGGGTGGCAGGGGGCGTGCCGGAGCTCAGGGGCCATGGAAGTGCGAGTGGGGCGGCAGGGGGCGTGCCGGAGCGCAGGGGCCATGGACGTGAGAGTGGGGCGGCAGGGGGCGTGCCGGAGCGCAGGGGCCATGGAAGTGCGAGTGGGGCGGCAGGGGGCGTGCCGGAGCGCAGGGGCCATGGAAGTGCGAGTGGGGCGGCAGGGGGCGTGCCGGAGCGCAGGGGCCATGGACGTGAGAGTGGTGGCGGCAGGGGGCGTGCCGGAGCGCAGGGGGCCATGGACGTGAGAGTGGGGCGGCAGGGGGCGTGCCGGAGCGCAGGGGCCATGGACGTGCGAGTGGGGCGGCAGGGGGCGTGCCGGAGCGCAGGGGCCATGGACGTGAGAGTGGGGCGGCAGGGGGCGTGCCGGAGCGCAGGGGCCATGGAAGTGCGAGTGGGGCGGCAGGGGGCGTGCCGGAGCTCAGGGGCCATGGAAGTGCGAGTGGGGCGGCAGGGGGCGTGCCGGAGCGCAGGGGCCATGGAAGTGCGAGTGGGGCGGCAGGGGGCGTGCCGGAGCGCAGGGGCCATGGACGTGAGAGTGGGGCGGCAGGGGGCGTGCCGGAGCGCAGGGGCCATGGAAGTGCGAGTGGGGCGGCAGGGGGCGTGCCGGAGCGCAGGGGACTTGGCAGAGAGATCCTATCATTGTGGTTTATTGTTTCGGAAAATTATCTCAGTCTACTGTGGATCAACAAAGATTTTCTTATAAACTGTAAAAGGGACAGTCTGCCTTTAACTGAAAATATACTCAATAAGAGCAGCCAGAACTCTGAAAGTAAGAAAGTTTTAAGTATAATATAGCAGATAAACTTTATTTTTGTCCTTGGCAACTGTTCACTCAGGCTGTTTTTATTTACAAAATACAATTCTATTAAAATAATGTGCATCTTTCCTACATGCATTTCTTTAAAAAGGACAAACTCAACACAGACATATCTTCTGAATACCACTGATATGTATTTATACTGGGAAATGGAAAGTTTTTTAAAAATTTTATTTCTTTATTGATTTGAGAGAGAGAGGAAGGGAGAGGGAGAGAGATAGAAACATCGATGAGAGAGAAAACTGACTGGCCGCCTCCTGCATGCCCCCCACTGGGGATCGGGCCCACAACCTGGGCATGTGTCCTGACTTGGAATCAAATCGGCGACCTCTAAGTGCATGGGTCGACGCTCAACCACTGAGCCACACTGGCCGGACGGGAAATGGAATTTTTAAAGTAGGAAGTTATAGATGCTTTCATTATGAGTTACCTAGCAGACTGGAACTATGTATTCTATTTTGCTTGCTGTTGTTTTTATCTCTCTTTTGTAAAACCCAGAGATTAACATATTACAGGCCGTTAAGGGTACTCAGAGAGTATGTAAGTCAGTTTACACATGGAATTGGACTTAGTGTATCACACAGCCATAGCTGATAACAACTACCAAATAGATTCCAGATGTACTCATTGTTTTGCCTCAGGTATGAGCTGTGTATATTTTATTTTCTCCTGTTAGGTTTTTCAGTTACACTGGGGCGGGGAGGGGGGGGGATGCTTGTAGCAAGTTGCTTGAGAAGCAGAGGAAGTGTATTTACATTTAAGTCCTGTCTGCAACAATAGTCCTAATGAGCATCTTTTTGGCATGACTGTCCATTACGTTAAAAATGAACATGCAGCTACTGCTGACGGACTCCTGCCGCATCTCAGGAGCTCACTTTTTGATGTGAGAGACCAAGGACTGGCATCATGTGCATGATCTGTCAGTTGCAGGAAGCGGCAAGGAGAAGACACCATAAATCTTTCACTAGAACTGAGTAAGGAGGAAGAGTAGCCAGCAAGGTGTAAATATGCCTTTCTCACTTTGAAGTAATTTATGGCAGTAACAGAAGAGCAAAACAAAAATCAAAGCCAGTGAGGTTCTTTCTGTCTGGCTGAAAGGAAGAAACTCAGGTGGTGCTAGGAATGATTGTACGAGCTTGCTAGTTCTTCCGTGGTGCGCGCCTTATTTAGTCTACGATACAAGCACATTGGTTTCTGATTAATCTTTATATCAGATCTAAAAATAGTCACAGGAAAAGTAGCAGAAAATTCTTTTCGTCCTTGAATTACATTTTTTGTGTCCCATAATGCTTGGGTGGGGGAAGGGTAGCCCACTGTGGTCCTAATTATAATCAATATATTATTACAACTTCATAGAACTCTTACTAATTCTGGGGTTTTCAGCTTGGATAAGACAGGTTTGTATCATATTTTGGGGGGTCTTTTTTGAGCACGATTATCATTTTTTAAAGTTTAAAAATGAATGAATAGGAAATGTAAAACAGATAAAGTATAAGATCTCACCTCCCACCCCCATCAAAATGAAAATGGTACTGTAATGTCAAACTTAGCACTGAGAGTCAAACTTAGTTTTGATGTTTTCTTTTAATAGTAAAACAAATTCAAAGCCAGAACCTCAGTCACCTGACTCCTACAGTCTCCTACAGACTCATTGCTTTACTACTGATGTAACTAATTTATTTCCTCCCCAGGCTAAGGCCACATCCTTCAGCAGAGAACCTACTACATAGTGCATATTCAACTAACACTTATTAACCTGGGGGGAAAAAAAGCCAAAGAGAAAAAAGATTTTCAAAATTATATTTAGGAAAATAGACTTTCATTCCTATTTGTCATAAAGGAGCCCCTAACCTTATAGCGGTGCACCCTGCTACAGGCACAGCTACTTTTCAGAGTTGGAGAGTGTATTTGTGGCCACTTGGGTATAAAAATGAAAACATAGTTCATTATCTTCCCAGGAGAGTAGATTAATCAAAATTATATAAAGGTAATTGTACACTATTAGCTATATGAACAAGATTTTGGCCAGGTAAGCTAGCGATGAGGAAATTGCTGACAGTCTGTTTTTTTACAAGACAAAATGTTTATTTTAACTGTAGTGAGTATTTTTTTTTTTTAAGTTTTTTTAAATTGATTTTTAGAGAGAGATCAATGTGAGAGCAAAACATCCATGGCTGCCTCCTGCTCACCCCCTACCAGGGATCGAGTCTGAAACCCGGGTTTGTGCCCTGACCAGGAATCGAACCGGCAACCTTTCAGTGCACGGGATTACACCCAACCAACTGAGCCACCCTGACCAGGGCTGTGGTATTTTTTCATTTTAATTAAAATGTTGTAGAGGATGCTTGGAATGGAAATGATTGATACTGGTGGTACTTTCAAAGACTGGGCTGGGGAAATACTTTTAAAAATATTTTTTTTCCTCCTGGTGCTTTATTTTGCCCAGTCAACCTTGTTCTGTAAAAGCTTGACATGCCCAATGTTTAGAGTAGCTCCTTACACCCTTCTGAGTTTACTCCATCGTCTCCGCTGGAGAGGTGTCCAGAGAATCGGAGCGTTTCCGGGAGCCTCAGGAAGGCCCCAGGAGGAGGTTGGTCGCCAGCCGGCTGGAGGGGATTTGGTGGGCAGCTAGGGAGCACCCCTGCAGGCTGGCGGCAGCTGGAGGGGATTCGGCGGGCAGCTAGGGAGCATCCCTGCAGGCTGGCGGCAGCTGGAGGGGATTCGGCGGGCAGCTAGGGAGCATCCCTGCAGGCTGGCGGCAGCTGGAGGGGATTCGGCGGGCAGCTAGGGAGCACCCCTGCAGGCTGGCGGCAGCATCTTTCACCGTCCCTGCGCCTGCCACTCCTGCGGCCGGACCTCACTGTCTCTGGCTTCTTGCTGTAGCTCCCAGTTAATGGAAAAACGTGTTGCCATTTAAAAGCAGATGGGAATTCAGCTCAGGAGGAAATGTCTTTTTTGGTTATAGCTATTGTTTTCTTCTGCTTTGATTTTTTTTTTTTTAAGTTATTTGTAGCATATTCCATTTCTTTCTTTTTTTTTTTTTATCAAATTATCCTGATTACTTTAAGGAAAACTTTTATCTTCCCCACCAACAGGAAACCAGCAATCATGAATGAGTGCACGTGAAAGCCATAGATAGGTTCATCACCAGCACGCCCTGTGATTAGGGACAGGGTGACGAGTTCGATTTTCTCTCTGTAGGCTGGCCTGGGCTGAAAATGGATATCTGTAAACTGGGGTGAACGTTTATTTGCATTTGAATGTGATCCTCCTTTTCATGCTTATCTCATTAAGTGAAATTGAGAATATATCTAAGAGCCAGGTATCAACTGTACACTTTATAAATAGCATAGGTGATTACAGCATTTTTTTAGTATTCAACTTCCAAGAGAGGCAATGAAGTAGAAAAAACGAATTTTATTGTTGCAATTGAGTAGACTGCTAATAGAATTGTAGCTCCTTTCAGGGTGGTTTCAGGCAAGTTATTAACTTCTTTGAAACCTCATTTTCCTCGTTTGTAAAATTTCTACACGACTGAAATGTTTTGAGGTTTAACTAGGATGTGTGTCGAAGTACCAAGAAGCACTGGCTGGCGTAAAGAGTGCCCCCTGGACGCCGTGCGCTGCCCGCTTCTCAGCTCCGCGCTCCGCGCAGGGCGAAGCTCTGGTGGACGGGCTGGGAGATGCTGAGACGGTGTCATTGCCTTGGGAGCAGGTGGTGTACCTGAAAGCTGAATGGCAACTGAGTTTGCCTCTTACC